TGTGTTCCAGAAATATGGGAGAGGCTAGGGATGCGGATACTTTGGCATGCATAATTGAAAGCATTTCTTTCTAAATATGTTTTCCTTTGAATGTGTCTGCGTTGGAATGGGAAGCTAACTGTGGGCTGTTAACTGAGAGGTCAGCTGTTCAGAGTCACCAGCTGCTCGGTGGGCAAATGATAGGGCAGTCTGCGTCCATGGCACTCTGAAGCTTTGGGAACCTGTGGGGCAGATCTGTGCAGTCCTGTAAGGGTGCCAGGAGGCAGAAGGGACTGGATTCAGTGCATTGGCTTATGTTCTTTCTAGAGCTGTGTGGAAAAGGCTCAGATTTAGTTCACATGGGGTCAAGGAAATGTGCAAAAGCATCAGGCCATAGTACCCTTGTGTACTGGGAGGGGTCTGGTGTTGATCTTAGCCCACTGTCGAGCTCTGGTCTATAAGTCTCTTGCTGAGAGCAGCTGCTTGTCCTGTGCTGCTTCTGTCCAGTTCTCAGTACTTCTACACTGCCTTGTGTCGCACAGTCCTGCCTGACTGCCACTTCCTTCAACCCTCTGAGGTCGTGTTGACTTCTCAGCTCTGAGAACAGGTGAGGTCTCTTCTTCGTGCTGGGACCGGTGACTAGCTGTGCCCTCGTGTGCTGCTGGGCTGTGGCTTGTCGTTAGGATTGGAGTGTAAATGTCCCTTCAGGGAGGGTGTCTCTTTTTTCCCCCAGACGCTGTCTAGTTAATCACTGCTTTCTACACTTGCTTGTAGTACCTTGTGTTTTTCTTGTTTCTGGGCTTAGTTTTCTCTCTGCCCCACGACAGTGTCATGTACTTAGCACCAGGAGCCTTATCTGTGGCCCATTGCTCCCTCCTCTGGTGCACATGACTGTGGCATGAAATACGCGTTCATTCTCATTACTGAGTTATAAAGGAAAACTGCTGGCTGTTCCTTAGGTTTTTAGGGGCTTTTTCAGAAACAGCTAACCTCCATAGGTGTTACCGTATGTGTCACCAAAGCTGTAAGGCCGTTGGAGATTGATTGTGTGGACATGGGAAATAAATGCCTCCATGGGTCAGACTTTAGCTTTCACAGACTATCTTTCCAGGATAATTTAGAAAATAATAATAATGTGTGCTTGACACATGTCCATAAAATAAAGCACATTCCCGTTGAGCACTTTGTGTAACGTTAGTGATGTTGTCCACACTCCTGAGTTTGGTCGCGTTCTTGTCATTTTTGTGCCAGCACTTCCTGTCCTGTTCTCTCGTGTCCCATGCTCCCACCTGCTGCCTATTGTTCAGGTCACGAGGAAAGGGTGCAGTTCCTCAGGTGCTTTTAGGGGATAGTTCTGGGTGGAGAGAGCGCCTTAGGGTGGTGGCCTCAGAAATTGGTCCTTGTCCCTGTAGGTCCAGAGCTCTGGATTCTAGGGAATTTTTGGTTGCGTTCCATGTTGTCCCTCTTCTGCTGGAGTTTGTGCATTTTGAGCCTGTGGTAGCTGGGCACCATCCAGCTTTTCAGCTCTCTAGCCGTGGTGACAGTCTTGTCCAGTACAGCATTTTTCAGTTTTTTTATCTACTCAGAATGTGTTTAGGCACAAATATACAAGCAGTTCTGGGAGAAAGAAAGCGAGAAGAGGGGGTTGTTAGGTACTTCATAGCAAAAAGAATAAAAGGACTAGCTGGAAAAGAAACTGTGATCCAGTGGAGAGTAAGGCCTCTTGGGGCCTCCACAGTGGACTTTGGAGAAGGACCCTCTGGACACTTTGCCCAGGTTTTATGTTCGTGCTTCAGATTTTCAGAGGGGAGAATATGCCTGACCTCCCGTCAGCACACTCCGGCGGACCCTCCCTGCCACGGGCCTCCTGGGTTACACGTCTGCTGTTTGGTGTCCTGGCAGCCACATAAGGGTCCTCCTTCTCTGCCTGATGATACCCTGCCGGGATCAAGGTCCAGCGACATAAATTGTCCCAGAATGTTCCAGACCTGAGCCCTTCTAGAGATAACCTTGATCTCTTCGGCAGATCCTACACAGTGAAGCACTGCTTATCCTGCATGATTTGTGAGATGCGTGTGTCACGGTGTTTTAAACCAGTGGGAAGAGCCTGGCGGCCTCGCCCTGGTGCCCCTGTGACTCGCTGCTGTGGCGGGTACTGCTGCTGCCGGATTTGATGGCACAGCACCCTCAAAGCCTGTCCTTCTCTGGAGGTAGCCCCTGGCCCTGCCGTCACTATCGCTCTGGAGAACTTGATGCTGGGGACCTTGGACTCTGAAGAAGCTCTGACTTGGTGAGGTCAAGATTGTGGGAGTGAGACCTTTGAGGGGTGCAGAGCGTACTCAGGTTTGAGGGGCATTACTCTAGATAAATGCGGTTTTTATTCCCAGAAGAAGCAGGCAGATAGGCAAGCATATCTGTGGTCACTGTCCTGTTCTCCCAGAACCAGGCAGAATGGTTACCGACACACAGTCTCTACTCTCAAGAGGGTGACACGTGTGTGTGTGTGTGTGTGTGTGTGAGAGAGAGAGAGAGAGAGAGAATGCGCACGCGCGCGAATTGAAGAGACTGAGGTTGAATGGTCAGGGAAAGACTCATAACATGGTGAAGCAGAGGGGTGAGGCAAATGGGGCGGGAGGTGGGGCACGTGCAGTGGATGATGGGCAGGGCTGTGGTCCTCCTGAGGCCAGTTGGCGCGAGTGCATGCTGGCAGGTGTGCGGTCAGGTGAGGAGGCCCACTGCCAAGGCTTACGCAAGGCTGAAGGCCTCAGGAGGTCTTTGGCTGTGGCTGTACACGCAGGGGGACACCATTGTGGTGTTCTGAGCATTCAGCCCAGGTCAGTTGGACTTGAGATCATTGATCCTGGCTGCTAATGCAGGGCCTGGGCTGTGGGCAGTGTGAGGGGGGCTCCCACAGGGTGATTTGAACAGGGTTGGAAGAGTGTTGCCTGCTGAGAAGGTGGAGCCCGTCAGATTTGCCCTGGGGCTGGATCCGAGTGTGAGAGAGCGAGCGGACTCAGTGTCTTTGTGTTGACAGCGTGGCTTCTTGAAATGACGGCATGAACGGCTGCTTACTGAGATGGGAGCAGATTTAGGAGAAGCTGCTGGCAGTGCTGTCGGATCCAGATGTGGAGAGGCGAAGGCACGGTGGCAAAGAGGAGTTCTGGGTGCCTCCTCCGCTGCCCAGATGATGCATTAATAAAGATTTCCAGATGACTAGTTATAATTCACAGCAGGACAGAGACACCTAGAAAATAACCTGGTTCTCCAGGTTATTTTTAATAAAAAAATAAACATACCTTGGCAGAATTGAAGTCTTCACAGAGTTTGGATTTTCCTTGAGGTTATTGAGACATGTCAGCGAGGCTGGCTGATCATACCCCTGTTTTGTGACTTTGGCCCTCTTGAGTCTTCTCTGAGGTGGAGAGGAGCAGGCGGTTGTCCAAGAAACTGTTAACACTTAGATTGCAGCAAACTGCCAGCCCAGGGGGAAGGGATGCCAGGCAAGAGAGCTGGACAGAAGATTTAAAAGGCAACTTGAGAAGAAACAGTACAGCAGTGAAGTGGGAAGAACAAGCTCAGCATTACTCAAGTCAAAAACGAAAGAATCATTTCAGGCCTCCCGTTCTAGTATCAAAGGGATCTGTGTGCAGAATCTTGAATCGAGCAGGAAGGATGAGACCGTTATTGTGCCAGAAAGAATTAGTTGATTCTTAACTGCATCAGGAAATAGCATATGATCAAGAGCCAGTCGTTCCAGAGGAAGAGGTCACAGTGGCAACTAAAGATACTGGCAAAAGATAAAACCCCGGGAATTATGGAATACCACCAGGTAAGGAATTTGAGCACTGTTCCCCCTCATCTGTGCCAAGAAATTTGGAATACAGCTTCTGGGCCAAGGGATTGGAAGAGATACATATTTGTTCTCCATTCAAAAAATAAGTGATCCAGCAGACTGTATAAATTATTGAATAATATCATTAATATCATGTGCAAGTGAAACCTTGCTGAAGATTATTAAAAAATAATTTGGAGCAGTACTTCGACAGGGAACTTCCAGAAAATCAAGCTGGATTCTGAAAAGGCTCTGGGACAAGGGATATTATTACTGATGTCATATCTGAGCTGAAAGCAGAGAATATCAGAAAGGTGTTTACTTGTGTTTTGTTGATTATGCAATTATGATGCTCTGGATCATAGCAAATTATGGATGACATTGAAAATAATGAGAATCCCAGAACTAATTTTGCTCATCCAAAGTCAGTACATAGACCAAGAAATTGTCCAAACAACAAAAGAACACTGCATGGTTTAAAATCAGTAAGAGGGTGTGTCATGGATATATCCTTTCTCCACTCTTAGTCATTTTGCATGTTGAACATATAATTTGGGAAGCTGGTCTTTATTAAGGTTAATGTGGCATCAGGATCAGAGGAAAACTCATCAACAGTCTGCTCTATGCAGATGATACAGTCTTGTTTGCAGAAGTGAATAGGACTTGAAACACTTGTTGCAAAGGATCCAAGACAACACCCTTCCATGTGGATTACATCTCCACACCAAGAAAACAAAACTCTTCACCACTAGGCCAACATCATGATTGGTAGAGATAAGATGAAGTTGTCATTGGTTTTTTTCCACTTGGATCCACAATCAACACCCAGAAAATCAAAACATGTATTGCCTTGAGGAAATCTGTCAAGGATCTTACCACACTGCTAAAGAGGAAGGATGCCAGTTTAAAGACTAAGGTGTACCTGATCCAAACTATGGTCTTTGCTGTTGCTGCCTTTGCATCTGAAACTTGGGTAGTGCTTAAGGATGACAGAAAAATCCTCTGTAACTTTGATGTCTCTGTTCCCTGATCCACCAGAGAGTGGTAGATGGTTGGCGGTTGTTGTGTTCGTGAAA